CAGCTCAGCAATTATAATAAAAAGGTAAGGGGACAAAGGGTCCCCCTGCCTTATTCCTCTGGATGGTGTCACATATCCACTGAGGGAACCATTGATTTTAAAAGAGAAGGAGGCTGAGGAGACACAGAATAATATAAGCTTCACAAAGTCCAAGTGGAATCTATTTACTCAATCGTTATATTATTATAACTAGTGCGTGGCCCTGCGATGCACAGGAAAATAATATTATAATTGTGTTATAAATTAAATTTACAAATAAAATTGATCAAGATTTACCCATAGTTTATAATCAGTTTATAATCAGTCTAGTTCACTTGAATAAAATATTTGTTATTGAATCCGTCAACACCCGTCGCTTGAACTGGTAGGATCGATACGATTTTCTAAATAAATTTTGCTATATTTAAAATTATTTTAAATAAAATTAAATAAAATAAATATTTATAAATTGTTTATCAATTAATTTAAACATTTGAATTTTTAAATTGTTTAGGTATTTAAGTAACACATTTTATTCAAATTTATTACAAAAAGTACCATATATATATTAAAGCGTATTTTTAAGGAAAAAAATAAATTGTATAATTTTTATAAATTAATTGTATGATTGAATTATATGATTTATTAAAGTGTATTTATAAATTAAATTGTATTATTTTTAAATAAAAATATAAGAAAAATAATAAAAACTACTATTTATGGGTTGCATTAAATGCTGACCTATTTTTTTGCTACTAATTTTAGTAAATAGGATAGCTTTTTATATAAGTATAGATATAGAACCTATTTACTTAATTATTATATTGTGTATAATTTAAAATATATTTATTCAATTATTATATTATTTATAATTTATAATATAATTCATTCAATCAGTATATTATCATATATAGAATAAATTTACTTAATTACTACATTACTTATAGTTTAGAATATATTTACTTAATTTTTATATTATTTATAATTTTGAACCTATTTTTTTTTTTCCGGAACGATAGAGGATACTATTAATGAAAACAACCAATGTCCAAATACAATATCCCAAAGAAAGACAACATGAGAGACACATCAACAAGATGGTCTAAAACCTCAACCAAATAAAAGAAGACAAAGGAAAAAAGGAACAGTTGCCGAACCACTGCCTCAAAGCCTAGCCAACACCTGCCCTAAGAAACAAAAACCACTAAAAGAACAAAACACTAATAACAGAACAAATCAAATAACAGAACAAAACCACTAAAAGAACAAATCAAGGAGAGCTTCTAGCAGCTGCAGCAAAGTTTAGCCAGTCTGACATGGCTGCTTTGATGACAATGTGAGGTGGGGGAGTAGAGTGCTGAAATAGCCACTGGTTCCTCGTCTTCCAGAGCCACCAAAGGAGGTAGGTGGAGAGCTGAATTCTGTCCTCAGCTATCTCTGAAAGACCTATGCTGCAGACTTCTTGCCACCAATTTCTGAAAGAGTACCTGAGGTGGGCTAAGTTTGGCCAAGAAACTGGAGCTAAATCCCATATTGTACAAGCTCTAGGACACTGAAGCAAGACATGCTCAATGGTTTCAGGAGATTCTCCACAACTTCTACAAATCACATCAATATCAAGGCCTCTGCTTTTCAATTTCACAAGAACAGGCAGTGCTCCAGAAAAACATTTCCAATAAATAATTTGACTTTCATCATCACCTTCATCGACCAAAATCTCTTTAAAGTTGAGTGCCATGGATTGGGGCATAAACTGCTTTCTGGAAGATCCATAGCATGAACTTTCTGGGCCACTAAATAAGCATAAGTGCAAGACACAGTGAAGTTTCCTTTTTTGTCCAAGGCCCAGTAATGCCTATCAGATCTATCAGCTTTCACAGTACTGATTTTCAGAATGGCAGAGCTATCCTCATTGTTGAAGACCTGCTTTATTAACCATTCATTCCAGCCTGAGCCATCTGGCAGCATTAGGTCTTTAACAAATATCAGATGCTCTCTAGCAAGCTCAAGTAATGCAGGAGAGGGTTTTGACAGATTAGGCACCCAGTTGTGGTCAGAAATTCTAGTGTCTGATCCATTTCTAATCTCAGTTTTCAGGTTCTTAATAAATAAGGGAAGGACATCAACCCAGCAGTTCCATAACCATGAACCTTTCTAAGATTTAGAAGCTTGGAAAGTTGAGGAATTAGGAAAGTACCTGTCTTTGAAGACCTTGCTCACTAAAAGATCTGGCTGGCTGACAATCCTCCAAATTTGTTTGCAAATAAGGGCTTCATTGAAGAGCTTAATATCAAGGAGGCCTAGACCACCAGCCTGTTTAGGAATTGTGAGTTTTTCCCAGCTTTTCCAGTGAATACCTCTGAAGTCATCATCAGAACTTGTGTTCCACCAGAATTTAGCACAGAGGCTAGAGATTTCAGCACATGTATTCACTGGCAGCTTAAAGCAGGACATAGTGAAAATGGGCAATGCCTGCAACACAGCTTTCATAAGAACAATTTTCCCAGCAGAAGAAAGAAGTTTGGCTTTCCAACTCTGAAGTTTTCCTTTGACTGAATCCAGAAGATAAGCAAAAACCTATTTTTTTTATCTTCCAATGCCCAATGGCAATCCCAGGTATCTAGTGGATCTGTGAGGGTGAATGCCATGGAGTGTAGAACATATATTATGCTGGAGAGTGCTAGGAGTGTTCTTACTAAAAAAAATTGCAGACTTTTGAAGATTAACAATTTGGCCAGTAAATAGTTTATACTTGTTCAGCAAGTCCATAAGAATGTGAGCTTGATCAACCCAGCTTTGCAAAAAAACAATGAATCATCAGCAAATAAGAGGTGAGATAATGTAGGACCATTCTGGGACAGCCTCATACCCTTAAGAAGACCAGAGGAACAGGCATCCAATATGAGAGCAGATAAAATTTCAGACATGATCAAGAACAGGTAAGGGGAGATGGGATCCCCTTGCCTGATTCCTCTGGAAGGGTATACATAACCACTGACTTCACCATTTATTTTAAAAGAGATAGAGGATGTAGAAATGCAGGCCATAATAAGTTTGATAAATTCCAATTGAAAGCCCATCTGCACCATTATCTTTTTAAAGCTCAGCCATTCTACCCTATCAAAAGCCTTCATAAGATCAAGCTTTAAGGCCATAAAGTAGTTCTTGCCAGAGGAATGCCTATTCAGAAAATGGAATGCTTCTTGTGCAACAATGACATTGTCTAGCAATTGCCTTCCTTTAATAAAGGCAGACTGCTGGATACTGATACAACCATTCAAGCAAAATTGAAGCCTCATAGCAAGAACCTTGGAGATTACTTTGTAAACTACTGAGCACAAGCTAATAGGGCGAAATTGACTTAAGGAGTCTGGTGATGCACATTTTGGGATGAGAGATAGAATTGTGTGATTCCAATATTGCAAAATTTGTCCAGTATTAAAGAAGCTCAAAACAGCAGCAACAAAATCAGAATGAATAAGTGACCAAAGGTGTTGATAGAAAAAAGCACTCATACTGTCCTCTCCAGGTGCCTTTTCAGGAGGAAGACTAAACAGAGTTGTCTTGATCTCTTCCTCCTCAACAGGCTGCATCAGGGATGTATTCATATCCTCAGAAATGGACTGTGGGATTAAGTGGAGAATTGAGTCCCCACCCCAAGAGCCTTCAGTAGAAAAAAGAGTGGAATAGAACTCTGTAATGTGGGATTGAATGGCCTGTTTCGAAGTGAGCTCTTCTCTTCTTGATGTGATAAGTCTTGATATTGCATTTTGTCTCTTTTTCTGTTGGGTGTAGGCATGAAAGAACCTCGAGTTGCAATCTCCCTGTTTGAGCCAGTTTAATCTTGCCTTTTGTTGCCAATATAACTCTTCTGTGTGATGTGCCTTTTCCAATTCAATTCTTGTAGAGTTCCAATCCTCCCAGTTAGAGATAGTCTGTTGCTCTCTTAGGGATTCTAGCTTCTGAGTGAGAGAGGCTATATTGAGTTGGTTTTGGGAGTGAAATTTGGAGCTCCAAAGCAGCAAGGCAGCTCTGGTGTTTTTGACCTTCTCTTTGAGTCTGAAAAAAGGAGTGCCACTGACAGGAAGAGACCAGGCTTTTGACACAACTTCCAGAAAACCTTCCTTTTCAACCCACCTTTTGTCAAAATGAAATCGCTTTGCTTTTCTATCTTTGTACTGACCAGCATCCATCAACAATATAGAGTGATCAGAAGAACTTGCTACCTTATTCAGGACCTTGGCGTTAGGAAATTGGTGGTGCCAGTCAATAGAGCCAAAGCCTCTATCCAATTTCTCTTCAACCAATCCATCAGCCACTCTGTTATTACTCCAAGTAAATTGATGGCCTAGCATCATTATTTCTTCCATATCCATATTCCTGATAAAGGAGTTGAAGCCTGAGAAGCTACTCTGCAATCTAGGATTTCCTCCTCTTTTGTCTGCACTGGAACAGATGTCGTTCCAATCTCCAATCACAAACCAAAGATTGCCCCAATTATGCTTCACAGACTCAAGGTCTGCCCATTGAGTAACTCTAGTGGCTCTGCAGGTGCTTAGATAGACAAACACTCCCCACTGAGGCTCTGAATAAGAGATCTGAAAATGAACTGCTATAAAGAAGGATGAAGCCTGAATGTTGAGAATAGTGACTGAGTGATCCCATAATAATAAGAGCCCTCCACTAAGACCCTGAGGATCAGCAATTGAAAATCTGTCCTCAAAGCCTAATTTCTTACTAACTGACTTGACAAAAGCATTTGTTTTTTGGTTTCAGACAGAAAAATAAAAGCTGGGTGATGGGCTTTGATAATCCCTCGGATTTGGGAAACTGCAGAGGGCCCACCCAGCCCTCTACAGTTCCACACCGCAGCTAGCATTGGGAACTTGGGTGCCACTCAAGGCTGGCCACCCCCACCTGTTCAGAAAAAGTTTTGGATTTCTTAGATTCAGAACCCTTTGCAGTTTGGACCTCTTCAGCTTCTATGTCAGATGAATTCTCTACCCTAGGTCTTTTACCACTGATTGTGGGTTGTAATTGAGAATGAGACTCATCCTGTCTTTGAAGTCTGCCTTCTTTGTCTCCGATCCTTTTCCAAGTTGTAAGCTTGCCTTTGCCTGTAGTAGTAGCCTTGGGAAGACTGACGATTGATAAAAGAAGGATTCTTGTTTCAACATCCATTGGTTTTGAAGGTCCTCTTGAATAATAGGAGCTTTGGACAACTCTAATGGCTTGCAGAGTGCAGTATGGGAGCTGCTCGAAGAACCATGAGTTGAAGATTTAAGAGCAGGGTTGGATTCAGCTGAGTGAACAATAAGCTGTTGTTCATGAGAAGCTTGATTACCCATGTGATCTTGATTCTCGGTGTGAGTTGGAGAAGAAGGGTGTTGAGAGTTACTTGGACTCCGAGGTGGGCTTCTTGAGCCTGTAGTGAAATTGTTGTTGCTAGCCCAGTATTGTCCTTCTGGAGCCCTCAGCCAATCTCCATATTGGCCCTCTTTAAGACATCGAGCTTTGATGTCATCAACCTTTTTGAAACATCCTTTCTCCAGGTGGCCAATGTGTCCACAGTAATGGCACAGATTTCTTAGTTTTTCATATCTGAAGCTGATAGTTACCACTTCTTCACCAAGTCTAACGTTGGTGCATCTGGGAACTGGTTCCATTAGGTCAGGAGTTACCAATAGGCGAAGAAATTTACCTCCGTGATTCCCATAGTTGGTTATAACCGCATTATCAACTTCTTTAAAAACTGTACCAATTTTGATGCCGACATCTGTGCTGAGCCAGTTCAAAGGCACATTCATAACTTGAACCCAGATATTGAGTTCTTGGAAACACGGGTGCTTACTGTTCAGGCCAGAGCGCCATTCACGGAGAATCAAGTATTGGT